TATATATATATATATATATATGAATTAATGTATATATGACATTATTTATAATATATGTATATAATATATAACTTGAGTAAATTTGTATTATAATTTATTTATATTTCAGCAATGCAGCGCGGTGCGATGAAAGCGGAAATTTGAGGAGTTACATACACTTCTATTATAGATCATTCATCTCACTTCTTCTTTGCTGCTATGTATTTAGTCAATAATGAGAAAAATGGACAAAGCGAAGGTTAACGTTAAGGAACAAGGGAATTTATTGTAGATTTCCTTATAGACCGTCTCTCAATAAATGCTGAATATTATTCGATATTTTTCGAAGATCCAGTGAAAATCATCATCAAAAACAAGAGAAAAAGGACACATATTGTTTCTCCATGCTAATGCCCGTCTCACCATGGACACCATTGAAATATCTTCTCCCATATCCTTCATATAATCCAGATTTTACATTATCAGATTATCACTTCTTCAGCTTCTTAAAGAAGCAGTGGGGCAAGAAAAGGTTTGATCAATGAGAATGTAATTATAGACTGTTTAAGAATGGCTATGCCTATAATCAAAAGATTTCTTCTTGAATGATATCCGCAGGTTTTCGAATCACTGGCGCAAATGCGTTGCAAATCAAGGGGAAATATTTTGAACAGTATCATAATAGGTTTCGTTAAATAAATCACAGATTTTTACTTACTAAATTATGTTCTACTTACTGTTCTACTTACTAAATTATAATTCATATTTGCCCAACCCTCGTATTTTTCAATTTTACAATATAACAATATAATATCTTACAGATAATTCAGATTTGATTATCTTTTTTATTGAAATTGAAATTAAGTTTAATATTACATGTGATTAGATTAATATTTTTTGTTGGTTATTTTTATAAATCTGTTTAATCTATGGAATTAAACATACATATGAGGATAAGAAATACCATTTAGTTTCAAATGTTTAAAAAAAATCCAGATTTATAAAATAATTCTATAAATTTAATAAGCTGTATATACAAATATTTGATTGTGAATCATAAATTCGATTACTTCCAAAACTTGAAGATGACTTTGTAGCATAAATCTATTTAAAAATATTTAGAAATTTAAATTTTATATTGAAAAACTTTGATACAGTTATTGCAAGCTTTTTCGCTAATAATTTCTACCGTAATGTTATATTATTATTTTCTTTAATAAAAAACATTTTTTTAAATTTTTTGCTTTGTCATTACATCTTTTATATTAAAAAAGTTTAAATGTGCAATTGTTGACTCATTCTTCCATTAAAATAAAAATATAACTCTTATTTAACATATTCAATAAATTGACTTTATAAGGTCATAGTCAATTATATTTTTAATCTAAGATCACCGGAAAATAAGAAGCAATATATGAAAATCAAATAAATATACAATCCCATTACATTAATATGCAAGCATTGACTTTGATTTTTTCGCAATGACGATGAATTTCAGAATTCACAATGATGTTAAATAGATTTTGGCAGCAGAAATGCATTTTAAATGCATTCTGAATAAGTAGATTAGTAAGATTCATGATGATTATATCATTTTAAAAATTAAATCATTAAAAACAAACATAACAATTTTATCGATTTATCTTGATCAACGTATCTTCCATTTCTCAGTGATATATAATTCTTGTATGATCAAAGTACATCTCGCAACAAATAAGAAAATTGAAAATATTAATAATATTAATAAAATCAACATTTAAAAATTACTAACTAAATACTTAAAAATGATTAGTATAACAATTAAAAAATTCCTTTGGACATTTATAGACTATTTTATTAATTCGATATTTTTTACTAAGAAAACCATGTAAATCGATTAAAATGCGTTTTTGTTGTTCAAATCTCTCTCTCTCTCTCT